TATATATATATATATATATATATATATATATATAAATATATATAGTAGGTAGCGATCAAACAAGACGACACATGGTTTCTGTTACTCGGAATTTCGTGTTTATGCACTCATCAGACAGATTTAATCATTTTATATATAATGTGTGTTTGTGTGTATTACCAATTTTTTTTTTTTTTTGCTTTTTACGAGTGCCTATACCAACTTAACCTATAAACGGTCTCATAGGCTTCTAAAAGCAGCTTGTACTCAGAATCAAGCCTGTTTGTCAGCCGGTGACCGGCCGATAACCTTGGGAGAGGTGCGTGGTTGACGATCTTAAATCAAATTTTCGGTTATCTCAGTGTTTCAACCAGAGGCTTGATTGTCATAGAAATATCTTTAAAAAATCCTCTCTTCTTCAGTTTTGAACCAATGAAAACTTCTTTTGGCAGTAATATTTACCGCACACTAACATCAGCAGCCCGGTCGATAATGTTTGCGTTTTAATGCGTGACTCGGCGCTGCAAGACCCTTGACTACAGTTGGGGAGGCCAAATTATTAAACCTGTGTGGCTCTCGCGCAGAATATTTTTGTTCTACGTTTACTGTCAGTGTAATAGATTTTAAAGTTTTTTTTTTTTTTAAATTTCCCGATAGTTTAATTGCGAAAGGGACATTGATGTTTAATAAAATACTTAGGTGCTTATTAAACCATATGATTTTTAATACCATTATTTAAAAAACCAGCCGAAAGAATGTACCGACCAACAGCGTTGTTTACAATGCACCGATTAATAGTATTTCCTTCGTAAATTAGATAATTGCAAAAACCTATTAAAATGAATACCGACCACTACCAAAAAAAGACTCGATCAGTGTTAGTTGAGCGGGATCATGTTTCAAACAGTGAAAAACAAGCTGGGGGGAATACCGTTTCCTTTTTGATGAAAGCTTGTCCCTGAATTCAACTATTTAATCAAACACAATTAAAAACCTCTTGTGTCACGCGAAACTATCCAAAAATACATCCATTACATATGATTTGGTCGAAAAAACGTCGAGATCATCAATATGGGCTCATAATCTGGGGCTAATATTTTCTCCAAACGTCGCAATTTAAAGGAGCGTTATTCATGTGATAACCAAGCGTTATTCATGTGATAGTCCAACGTTCCCTTCCCAAGAGAGCATGATTTTCCTTTTTCTTTCGTCTCTGTCGTGTTCAAAGAAGAACAACTTCTATTTAAGAGTTTTTTTGGACAATAAACCTCAAGCGTTGAGTAACTAAAAAGGAAACTAAGTATCACAAATTTGTAGAACAAAGAATGCCAGGAAAAATTAGAGTTTAAGTGGTACTCTTCGGAAGTCCATTTGACAACTAACTTCGGATTTTTCACTAAGGTTAATAATTATTTGAAAGCTGTCAGATATACCTTAAACTGTGAAATCATTGGTTAAGCCGGATAGATCGACCGTGGGAGATCAAGCAACGCTCAGTTTGTTAACCGCTTAAACAGATGAAAAATCGAGTGTGCGATAAACAGAACAAGCAGATTCCCAATACTCTTTCTATAATATAAGGTGTCAACAAAAATGGCGATCAATTTTGAAAGGGTTTGGGAATGATTAATAATCTCATAAAAAATGCATAGATATATCAAACGGAGAACTTCGGCAAAGCAAAATATAATGATCATGTTGCTTTATACAAATGAATATCCCTTCGCAATGCTATATTTTTACTTTTGCACGAATAATCACCAGGTGTCATTTACAAGTGTCGAAAGGCAGGGATCAAATTCTAATAAACTGATGCAAAAATTCACGAATGCCGAAGATCAGATGTACAATTCAAACAAATCAATGCTGTAACTCTTGCTCATGTGGATCGCACTGACGGGAAACGAAAGCTTAAATTTTCCAATCAAAAACTTCTTCTAGAATAAAGAAATAGTCGTTTATGGCCTCAGTGAGAGCATTGTTAAGTCCCCATTATCCCTGTTTCTGCCTAACTCTTTTAAAGCAATTTTCGCATGTTATGTGTAAATCACATTTCGTACAATTCTCACTCTACCACTACATTAATTTAATACACGAGTATTCATTGTTACATCTGCATTTTTAAGAGAAGTGAAAACAGGCTAGCGTCGGTAATTAAGTAAAGCCAACATGTTATCGTCGGTGTGCTGAAAAAATGTGTGCGAGAAAAAAATTGCCGCGGAGGCGTAATTTTAATTAAAATTTCACCCTTCATCCTGTGGGGTCTCAGTTCCAGCGAAACCTTTCAATTTAGTGATAAACTATTATGAGGTGTTCCTTTCCAAAACATCAAAAGGAAAATAGTTGATTGTAAAATTAGAATTACGCTCGGCGAAAGCAAGCGAACCAAACTTAACTTGTTTTTATTCTTTTCTGTTCAATATGGCCATGGAAATTTGAATCAGACTATATCTAAATGCCTTGGGCAGAAGTAATTCCCATAAACCCAGCTTGTCAGCAAAATCACGGTACATTTTATCATTTATAATAGGACCAAGAAGTAAAGATGCCATTAATTAAAATACCGGAAGGATAATCATGCCTTCATGCATCCTATTAAGTTCTTTGCCCCCAAAAGGAAAGGGATTTCGACAATGAAAGAAATCGTCGCGATTCCATGAAATAATGACCGGCGTTATTGGCTTTTCTTTCTTATTCACTTATTTGTTTGGTTCAAATTAAGGATCACTCCTGAATAAATTCATCTCTTAAAGAAAAAAAAAAAAAACCTTTCAATTGTTGGAATATTGACTGAAAAAAATGGACAGCGCTTCCTTCAAGGCTGCTGGTGCTGATGCTGGATGCGGTTGTGGCCTTTCACCATTTTTCTTTTCACTAATGAGATAAATACAACTAATGAAACTAAGGCGCAAATAATGAGTCGCATTTAATAACTAAAATTCTGATTTTTTTTCTTAGACAGGAATTTGACATCGCGACGTTTTCGAGGTCGAATTAACTTTTTCATTGAAATCTAAGTCACTCTTCTCTGCCAGCACTGTGTTCATAACAAACATTTTACACACTGATAAGATTAATTACTGTCTATTTCATTTCAGTGGCGCTAATTAATACGCTTTATCTATGGGTGGCACTAAGAGAGAACATTTCAAGTGAAGGAATAGTGGTCCAAAAAATTTGAAAGTACAGTGTAGTACAGTATCTTTATTAAATCTCCACTATATGGCTCTCTCGATTTAATCTACAAATTTGGAAATTAACGAATTTACAAATTTACAAAACGTTTCATAAGTCGCATTACCGTCGAATAAAGCCGTTTGTCAATTCATTTGGGCTTTTTAGCGACCTATAAACCGGCTCTAGCTGTTCACTGAAGCAATAGAGAAAGCGATGGGATAGAAGAAAGCACTGGTATATTTAGCAATATATAATCAGCACAGATGTTAGGATGTACCACCATTTCCGTCAGCCCCCAGATTTTCTAACTGCTTTACCGTCGTCCGTTTTGTCAAAGGTATTTGTTCCACACTTTTGTCTTTCCAGAAACTTGCCATGCATTGAATAGTTGCCTTTTTTAGTAATTCCCGAAAGTGCCGACTATACATAAACCATACCCAAGGATTTATGGCGCAGTTGGCATGAGCCAACCAAAAAAAAGACAACGGAAGGAAGGCAGGGAGACGACAATAACTATCTGGGTCAAATGATCTCAGCAAATGGTTGACATGGACAGGAAACCAACAGATTGCAAAAATTGCAACTATGGCAATGATCATGCGTACAACACGTTGGTTCTGCTGAATAATTTTTGACCGATTATTTTTACCCACTGGTAGCTCACTTCGTCGATAAATTCTGCATGTAATAATAGTATAACAAAATACCATAAAAATTAGTGGAAGGAGGTAAAAGACGACAAACTTTGCCATCTCTTCGATCTCCAAGATCATGAGGTGCTTCCCCTGGTTTTCACTCCATTTCCTCATGCAATAATATTTGCCATCTTTGCCTTGCTCAGTTCTAAAAATGTACAAATAAGGGATGCAAAGTAGTCCCGCTAGGACCCAAATCAGCGCCATGGCGCTTTTGACACCTTTTTTCGACAGTGGCCTTATAGTCGCGTGTGCTGCCATTAAGCGGTCCAGTCCCATCGCGACAACAGTCAAAATGGAGGCGGCTACGGAGAACCCCACTGCGAAGTAAGATATCTTGCAGGTTATTTGTCCTATGATGCCCGAAATCCAGAGTCGCCCAACCGTCAAAAACGATATAAACACTATAGAAGCCGATGAAGCATTCATGATATCTGCCATCGCCATGCTGATTATTAAAAAGTTAAAAGGAAATTTTCGTCTCGATTCTTTGTCACCGCACACAACTTGAATCAAGAGAGAATTACCGACAAGAGAAGAGAAGAGGACCAAGGTGAATCCCATGATCACTAGAGTTGTTGTTGTGTTGCTTGCGTTTTCAATCGCGCATTTGGCGTGTAATTTACCAGTGATGTTTGTTGCTGAGTCATTCGCGGCGTTCATTTCGACCTGCACAAGGTAAAATCAATATCAGTCATTGAACACTGATCAGTGGCAAATCCTGACTACCAACGTGACGACCAAGTCCAAATTCACCCAGTCTTAATACAAACATAAATTTAGAAGCAATTAGTCACAACTCTTTGGACGACAAAGATATCTCCCAGGGGTAGAATCTACATTTTTTTTGTCGCGTGCGTTAGTGGTTTACAGATTCGGCGATTTATTACCAAATCTTGCCTGATCAAGAGCCTTAGCTATGCTGAGATAATGTTGACACTAATACGTCACAAAGTCACAGGTTAAAAATATCAGGTCTACCTCTGTGTTAAAACTGTGCACGTCGTTTACTCGCGAAACTTCGGAACCTTTCAATATTGACTTGTCCGCCAACAAGTCATCTGGAGTTCCGCTGCTTGGTAAACATTATGTATGATCCACCTGACCCCGTCTTTCCACGAGGCAAAAAACATCAATTAATTCTGCTGCTAAATCAAAATCTTACGGACGGGACAAGCGAAGCTTGTATAAGAATTTAAGAGGGAACGAAAACTGTGAGGAAAATGTAAATTCCGGTTGATGCAGTTCGCTAAGCGATAAGATCATTTACTGACAAAAAAATCAGCGAATCTGCAAACCTATTGGGCCTATATTGATCACTTTTTCTAGAAGATTTGTTTCAGATAGCCTCCGGTCAAAACCACTAGTTTAACATAAAACTAATTTAAACTGAACTATGAATTGTTTTTCTTAAGTAGCATTCCTTGCGATAATGCAAAACACATTTTACTTAAGTCACGAGTATGATGAAATAAGCGGACTTTTCTTTGAAATTTTCTGACCTAATCAAGCAGCCGAGCGCCGTAAAGTATAATATCATAACAATTCTTCCCACAAAAAGACAAACAGCTTTATTAAACTGTTGTTTTACCCTTTTGTTTTGCTCTCCTGAGTGTTTGTCTAGTTGTTTTATCAGGGAAAATCCTGCTAAGGAAGGGATCAATAAGAGTGACTCAGTTGTGATTTAGTTCTCCTCATTTGTGTAATCATGAAGTTCACATTTACTTTGCTTCGATCGATAAACGCCATTAGACACGCATATGACAATTAAGCTCTATTCTCTTACGTTTAAATATATTTAGATATGGTCTGATTTTTTTACCTGTTTATGACTAACTTGTACAGAGATTTGGCGTTAACGAAGCTGAATTAACTTAAGATGCAAAACTTCTCACCGATTCAGACTAATCCGTTTTAAGATTAACTTTTACATTCTCCTTTCCAACCGAATGCCTTCAAAGGATTTAGTTTTAGTATTTGCAGACTATCGGCGAGATCATCAAATATAAAAAAGATCCGTGAAATTTTCTGAGACGTAGAACAAATATGCTTTATCACTGAGTTTTTAGCCGGCTCATTTAGAGCAGAACTTGCGGAAGCAAAGCTTGATGGTGATTCAGCGTTTCCATTGCGAGCAATTTGATGGGAGGATGTCGATTGTTATTAAATATTATTGTTTTATAAATCATTCTTTCAACTGCAGGAAGTAAAATGATTTTGATGTCAAAGTACTGAAAACCGTGGTCATTTATCTAGAGCTTCTGTGTCAATGTCTGAAGCAAGAATGAAAATTTAAGTAAAAAGAAAGGGTGATCATACATTAATTACAGGCTTTGCAACTCTGCCTTAATGACAGGGGAAGATAAAGACCACGACATAAATAAAGCTGTTACTGAGCTAAAAGCTGAATAGCTGAGAGTTACATGAGATGCTCACATAGGAAAACCAAGACTTCAGTGATATTTTTGGCGAAAAGGCCGTTAAGATCCTTGTACTCACAATTTTTTAGTCGATCAGCACTCCCTTGCCGGCACATCTGACACCTTGCATAAAGTTGTAAACCAATTTATAATTTTCATCGTTTCCTGTCCCGTAACAACCTTGAAAAAAGACGATCCGAGGAAATACATTATTGATGAGCAAGGAAGGGCTTTTCCTTTGTAAAGATCACTTATCTTTAGAAGCATCTCTTCCTAAAGATATTTTGACTAATATTTTACTATACTGAAAGCTAATTGATAAAATCGCGTTTTAGAAGCACCGCTAAACTTCCTTTTAACTTGAAATCTTACCTGACTGAGTATTTAATAAAGTATGGGCTTAAAATCAGATTGGAGCGCTCATCCGAAAAAAGCCTCTCACCTAAGTTTTTTTTTATCTCTACATTCATAAGTAGATAAAATCTGAATGTGGCTTGTTCCAAAGACCAGTTAACAGCGATGGAAGTAATAACTGAAAACAAGAAGTAATCAATTCATTGTAAAAGCTCTGCCCAAAGGTAAAATAAGACGCGATGTCATGAATGGTGAAAGCAAACTTCAATTACTTTGGTTTATCAGTCTCTTTACATCTGCTGTAACTGAATGAGTATGCAAGTTCAGCCTATACATATACCATTGCCTGATATGGGTTATGAGAAACACACTAAGGTTCGTGTTTTCAATTTGTTTACAAATTAAAGCGATTCGGCCTATGGCTGTAAAAGCCCCCGGGGGACATTAAGTGAAGTGTGGTTGTTTTGTTTTTTTTTTTACTTGCTTGAATTGTAATTCCTGAAAAAAAAAATCCGGTAAGAAGAAAAGAAATCAACCCGTACGTCTTTTCTCTTTCCATAATTGTTGAAAATGAACTATTTTTCTTGCTTATATATCCAGGCTGGGCCACAATTTTTAGGGACGTTGAATTTTAAGATCGACGATGAAACTTCTGGAAATGTCACAAAAAGACTGGATTGAGTTGGAAGATGATAAACAAAAATGTTATTTAGAGGCATGTCCAAAATACTCCTGAAATTAACATTACTTGCAGTATTTGCAATTATGTCGGCGAAATATCGAGAAATATTTAAATTTGCTTTATTTTTAAGTTCATTAAAACGTTATTGGAAAAGAGGTATACACATTTAGAAATTCGGTAACTTTTCTCGTAAATTCTAAAATGTAACATATTAAAGAATTTCTAAAAAATGGAAATTAGGAGGTAAAAATGCATCACTAAAAGAAGCTTTATTTTGTTCGTCCGTATCAAGTTAATTTCAACCAACAAATAAGACTTAAAGTCTTCCGAAAAGATGTCAAACAATCTGGATAAAAATTAAGGTGAGATAAAGAAAACGAGTAAAACAGAAAAAAAAAAAATGAGGAGGTATTATGTGTCCTACCCGAATTTTAGCCAAAACGCAACTTTCTGCGCCTAAGGAGATGAGTTTGGGCCTCGAGACAAGATAGACATTTTTGCAGGTGTCTTGTTGCTGAAACATTTCGAGCCCTTCCATAATCTGAACTCCAGGTTTTTTCCAATTTTATAAACAAATATGTAAAAATAATAATTTTATCGCAGTACTCAACAGGATTTCCTGCTAAAAGATTTTCCCTTAACATCGTCTCAAAATTTCTTCAAAATTGGTGGTCCATTCTTAACAAATTTAACTAAACTCAAACCCAGTTACTGGTATCAATTTGTTTTCTTTTTGCATACGAAAACTTTCGCGTCATCCTCAATTTCGTGGCATACATTAAATAATCATAACACTTTGAACATAAGCGCACTTGCCTATGAACACTTTTTACTGAAATTTCAAAAAACGAACCGTGGTCGCATCTTTAATGACCATCCTTTGCAATTTTCACCTTTCAGAATTCTAATCACAGCGAAAAAATATTAATTATCAATCAACTAAATGGATAGCTGGCGTGTCTCTCTTTTCATCCATGCTGGTTATTGGAATGTTTTAATGACTCCTCGATCGATAAAGGTTACATCCAATTTAAATATCATAAACTTTGTGATTTAAATTTAATTCAATATCATGTGCATGAGAAAAAACAAACAGAACAACTTCTGGAAAAGACAAGATATTGGCATGTTTATTTTTTTTTTGAAATCCTTACCATTCCAAAAGCTGACAATAAGCAAAAGAAACAAACACACATATGTGCTTCCAATTATTACTTGTCATCGTCATTACTGGAACGAGATCCTATGCCTTCATTAGGGCTCTCGCTAAATTAGCATTTTATACCAATCTCCCAAACCAGAAAGGGTTGGGAAAAAAACTCTTAGATTTTGAAAAAAAAAAAGAAAAAGAAAAAACAAGGAGCCAAGAAACTTACCGAACGATACACCTAAAGAGCACTCATTTAAGAAGATTTCCTGCGATAACTCTCTCAAAATTCGTAAATTCTCGTTCAGTTTTCATTCAAGATTCGAAACATGTAATGATATTGCAAAATTTATACTGCCGTTGGAACAAAACAATTCTAGTGAATTAATTATCGACTAGAGTTAAAGCCCCTGGATATGCAAAAAAAAAAAAAAAATTAACTGAAGAGGTTAGCGCCAAGCAACATACTTTGACTTGTACATTTTATACTATCTTCATGTCAGTAAACTGAAACCAGTTGGTGTTTTACCTTTGATGTGGGCTAAAGGACTTCATAATGAGCTGCTGGTTTATGCCATGTAGAAAGTTGACGGTATTACAAATTTCATCCATCATTCGATCGACCGAACATTATCTAACATGTCAGTTTTAAGCGATGTTCAAAAGGACGCCGATCCCTGGACAAGAAACATTCACCACATCGTTTTTCATGTGAAAAAAGTCAAAAAATAGAAAAATCTACAAATACAAACAATTTGTTAACTTCTTGTCAGCTCCAAGTGAACAAACAACTCTGAGTAAACGAATAAAGGTTTATCTGTCACCAGGCAGCATTGAATGTCGAAGGAAGGCCAATATTCCTGCAGAATCTCAAAAATAATTGGCTTGGTCGTAAGAAGGGTTCGAAACCTCTACTCTAGTCTGTCTCCTTTTATTATCTTATGGCGTTTTGTATATTGATACAATGGCACTTAATTGTGTCAGCCGGAACTTTTCCATAATGTTTGTTTAAAAGGGTCATGATATAAGTCTAACAATAGGCCGCCTTGTAGAGGAAAGGCACTCGTGATCAGTAGGAAACATCGAATACCACTCCTATGACATACGGCTGCATTGAACATTCTGTGATTGGTTTCTACCAGCTATTGTTTTGGGCAGTTAGTACCAAGGCTGGAGTCTTTGCATAGTCAAGGTTGTGATGATAACAAAGATAAAATCAATAATAATAAAAAAAAAAAACTGCAGCGAAAAATCAAAGCCATCATCATAGAAAAAAAAAAAAAGAAGTAACCGTCTCAATAAAGAAGCTACTGATATCAGTTGAAAGTTATATTCGATTCTCCTTGGTAATTTTGAGCAGAGTTTACTCTCACGCTGCAGCTTCATTTCAATGTTTTCTTTTTATCAAACTGATATTACATCTCCTGGATACTTCCTCGTAGCAGCTGTCTAGGCCTGAAAAAAAATATTTTCTTTCTGATAACGTCCATTAAACCAAAACGGCTTCCAAGAGCTTACAACATTGTACCTCGAGTGAAATATTGACGTCGTGTTAAGATCGACTCGTGGTAAAGGCTTTTTATGAATAAAGAATACTGAGAAAGTTTGTCACCCTCACCCCTAATTACGTTTCGCTGGTAAAATGGCCGTAAGAATTATAACTCCTAACTAGGATACAGCATACTGCGTTGTACCTTCTATAACGTTCCTCAGCCTGAGTTTTGAGCAGCGAGAGTCGCGACTGTAGACACTACGTCCGTTTCAAGGGACTTTTCTTCTAAACGA